AATTAAACAAGTTCAACCTTTCTTAATCTAATTCACTGTCCCTCCCCAACTAGTTTGATGGATAAACCTTATGATATGATTGATTACATTGAGATAGATAATGAATTCCATGGCATCTCATAACCTATTTTTTTGGAGTTTATGGAACAACACCCAATCAACAATATTTTGAATGAATTATCTCTATTTTTTAAGTTAATATTATAATTACAAGACAATAGATAGAACTAATAATTAGATATCACTAATAATTTGTTTATAATGTAATTTTTTTAAAATAATTTGTACAGTCATATTTTTAAATTACTTTTATATTATAAATTTTAAAAATAAATGGGACATTGTAATTATATTATAATTTTTTAAATACAATTTAATATTAATTATGAATTACTATATAAATAAATTTATATTAAAGATATTTTGATTATTCACTAATTTTATTTATTTCTAATCAATGAAATCTACTTTATTAATTATAATATATATATATATATATATTTTTTTTTCTCATCTTTCTCTTAATTCAAATAATCTCACTTTTTACTTTTTTTTAATTTCTTTTTTCATTCTATAATCCAAACAAAAATTTAGAGTCTAAGATACTTATTGATATAAATTCTTATTGATGATTTTTTTATTTGAGGTAACTTGATAAATTATTGATAATTTATTATTATTTTTGTTTAAATTTAAGTAATAATTTATGTATCAGTTCTAAAATTATAATATATAATTAAAATATACAAAGTAATTTAAAATATAAATTCTCTATGTATAGGAATATATATATATATATATATATATATATATATATATATATCATCTCAAACGTAAAATAAAACATAAATTTATATTATTCATAACTCCAAATTTACTCTTGAGGTCTACCACCTATAACATCTGCCTCATAATTATTACAGTTTAAAATAACATACAAACCTAAGTGTTCTAATAGGCGGAACAACTCTAGGACGAATTTTCAACGTGCTTGGAGAGCCAATTGATAATTAGGTTTTGTATATACTCGTACAACATCTCTCATTCATAGATCTGCAGATAGTTGTATGCTGCGTTCGAGAAGGATGAATAGCTTCCAATAATAAATTTATTGATTCTCTCCCAAGTGTTTGGACTGTAGGTGCCATGATTTCCTTAACGAGCGAGTCTCTGGTTCAATTTCAAGATGACCTAGCTGCGTCGAGAAAAAAAAAAATAGAAAGCCTGGTGCAACAAGATCCAGTTGGTAAGGATTCCCAAATTATCTTCATTTTTTTTTTCATTTATTATCAGCTATCTATCCAATAGTAAATCTTTTAGATTTAACCTTAACTATAACCTCGAACCATTGATGAAAAACATCATGAAATTGCGCGAGTTAAACAAACTTTACAACGTTACAAAGAACTTTAAGACAATATAATTATCCTTAGCTTAGAAGAATGATTCAAAGAAGATCAATTAATCATAGCAGCACAAAAAGTTGTAGTAAGTGCTTTATGGTTCGGGGTTTTGACGAGTCTATTAATAAAGTTCAATCATTTTTTTCTAGATGCATTGATAGTTCCCTTCTTTTTGTTCTAGTTATTGACACGAAAAAGGGTGAAAAAAATTATAGGTCCAATTAAATATTAAAGTGTAAGTTAATAATTCAATTTAAGTATATAAAATTTAAATGTTAGATAATATAATTCAATTTCAAGTTTCCATAAATCACATTACACTCATACGAGACTCACATTAATGTCACACAAATACTAGATGACTTTGGGAAAATTAAATATTGAATTAGACATATGAGATTTGTATATGTCAGACCATAACTCGCCAAGTGCATACACAAAACGTACTGAGTTTGGTATATATACTCAGGAACAAGTGATCAAGGTAAGTTTTTAAATGACTTATCAAGATATAATATTTTTTTTACGCTGCAAGTTAAGTTATTGTAACATTTTCCAAGACACATAATAATATTCAACACATCTCATTTCATATTCATAACATATATTTTAATATTATTAGACATATACATAATATTTTTCGCATTATAACAAAATATAATTTTTTTTTTGATTAGACTTCTGTCAACTCTTTTGACCATAACTTTTTCTATAAAATATTTTTTACTAATTATAATTTTATTGAATTATTTATTTTAGAGCTTTGATGTGTATATATGGAAAATTTAATTTTAAGTTCAATGTTATTTTTTATGATTCTTTGAAAACAAATGAGTGCACTAAGTGAATTTGAATGTGCTAAGTGGACTTCAAATATACTAAATGGAATTTTAACATAATGTAACTTAAGCACTTTCAACATTGTCATAAATATGCTAAGTGAATTTAGATCCACTGGATGGATTTATATGACAGATGCAAACTGCATAGTGAATTCAATATTATGTTTCTAATGTTCTAAATCAAATTAAAACTAAACACTATCCTCCAAATTATAAATCAATTCACTAAATGTAATATAAGAATAATACATTCATATAAAAGACTATTATTTTTCAATCCTATAGAAATCAATTATACATTCACATTCAATATAACCATCACACATCAAACCATACATAATCACATAATCTAATTTTCTGAAATTCAATCAATGTGACTAAATCACCTTCAAATCCAAATTTTCTAGTCTAAAATATTATGTGAATTAGAAAAATAATTAACTTCCTTACCTCAAATATAATGTATCTAAGTTAGAGAACCCTAAAAACTCTTAAACTTGTAGGAAGATAGATTTTGCTCATGAAAACTCCAATTAACAAATTGAGCGCACTGTAATATTTATAAATTAGTAAATATTTATATTTTTATAACAAAGTTTACATGTAAACCCCCCGTACCACATGCAAACTTAAATTTAAATATGTAAAAAATTGTCTAAAATTGGAAAAAGAGAATTTTACTTTATTTAAAATTTTGATTGAGTAGAAATGATATTCTCTTCTTTATAAACACTAAATCATACTTGAATCTACAAAAATATAAGAGAAAATGAGAAATTTAAAGAAAAAGTAGAAAAAGAGGAATTATACAAAAATAATGATTTTGTGAGAATGAAATTTGAATAATTAAATTTTTTTATTATTATTTTTTTAAGTTTAATCAATAAAAGTTCAAACCTAAATATATCATAATATATCACTTATACCCTTAACTTACTCGTCCTCACATGTTGAATTAAGTTTGTTATGTAGTTTAGTTTTTAGAGCTTAGGAAAGATGGTTGATGAAAAATGGTTAATAAATTAGAAATTTTATATTACGTGTTGTAGGAAAATTTTAAAAAATCTTTTAAAGAAAAAACATTTTTTAAAAATACACTATGATTATATTTTTAACTAAAATATTTAATATTCCAAGTGGGTGAGAATACAAATTCCTCGTTAAAGAAGGAAATGTTTTTGTAAATGTAATTATGTCCTCATCTTTAAGTATATTTTAGATAATGCCAAATATATTTACGAAATTTTTAAATAATATATATATATATATATATATATATATATATATATATATATATATATATATATAACTTTTTTGAATTGAGTTTATCGATATTGAATACAATATTTGACAAATATAACAGTAAAAACTTTTGTCTCCTAAGATATGAAATGAGCTCGAACAAGTAGAAGTTGTTTTTCAAATTTTGAGAAACAAATTTTATTTCAAAAATTTATTCAATCACTTTTTGTTATTATCTCCTATATAGTTTTTCTTTTCAACACTTCATAATTTTTATTATTTACAAAATAAAATAGTTACATTTTACATACAAGTTATTTAACAAGTTTAATACAATCAAATATCTGATTAGAAATTTAATACAAGTTATTTACTCCATTTTGTTTTGTATTAATTTTCTTTTATACAGTAGTTAATATTGATTGATAACTTATCTATGCCAATCTCAAACAATTAAATAACTTGTAACATACATTAATTAATCATTAATGTTCAATAAAGTTATTAATCAATATAAGAAAATCATGTGGTTTTAGATGACATTTAGTTGATTTGAAATTTTATATATGATATACATTTCTATTAGTATATTTTTTAGCTACATTTAATGTCGTCCTATTTTATCCTTATTCCATTTTTTATGTACCAATTTTCTTTTATATAGTAGTTAATATCGATTGTTAAGTTATCTATGTTAATCTTAAACAATTAAATGACGTGTACAATTTAAAAAACTATATACATTAATTTACCACAATCAATATACGAAAACAATGTAATTTTTACTCATTAATATTCACGATATAATTCTGTTAAAAAGAATATTCGCGGTATAATTAGATGCTTTAACATTTTTCTATTTTAAGGTACATAAGACATTTAAAAGTAATATAATATAATATAATATAGTTTTTGCTGTTAGAAACATAGCAAAGTATTTATGTTCTAATATTAGTTTTACGTTTTAACAAATATTTTATTTTTAACAGGAACCAGTGTAACTCAAAGTTCACACGACCACCTTATCTTGTTATGCTAACAAACACTGAAAAAAGCTTTTTATTTTCCACGTTTTAACCTACACACTTGATTTACACAAAACAAGTATTATAGGCTCATGGTCTAATTGGATAATTTAATCTTTCTAATTTTAAGCTACATTTTTTTTTATGCGTATAAATTACAAATTTCGTTAATAACAAAACCAACTCTTACACAATTAGATTTTTTTTTTCCCAGCATTTTTATTAATCTAAAATAAGGAAAAAAAGTAGGGAAGCTTCGGAAACTGAAGTGTAGGTAAGCACAGCAAAGAAACAAAACAACAGTAACAAACCAAAAAGGTAAAAATTCGAAACAAAAGACACTAATTTAGCTTCGGTTCCGAAGCTGCTCGTGACCGTTGCACCGTACCTAGAGTTTAAAATTGCCCTCAATTAAACTCAGACACAATCACAATCGCATCATTTTCTGCATTCTCTCTGTCCTTCTCTGATATCCAAAGAATCCAAACATGGTATCAAAGGTGAAGAGAGGACCAGTGAAGTCCATCAAGGACCTTCGTAATAACAACAACCGCCGTTGGCGCCGGAAAACCCCCATAAAAAATGTGGTGGCGGCGTCCTCCGCCGCGCTCGCCTCCATCCGTCGCCGCATCACGAAACTCTTCTCGAAGATCGCGCGCCTCAGCACCACCCACAAGAAAAAAGCAACCTCGTACAAGATTCTCAAAAAGACAACAACAGAAGAACACGGAGAACAACGCGACGCCATTTGCCGCACGCTGGTGTTCGACGACGCTGCCCCCACGCCGCTCCTTCCTCCGTCCCTCTCCTTCCGAAAAACCGTGTTCCTCGACCTCGACGAAACGCTCGTCCACTCCCACCCCTCGCCGCCGCCGGAGCGCTTCGACTTCGTCGTCCGGCCTGTCATCGACGGCGAGCCCATGGATTTCTACGTCCTCAAGCGCCCCGGCGTTGACGAGTTCCTCGAGTCCCTGGCCGCCAAGTACGAGGTTGTCGTTTTCACGGCGGCGCTGAAGGAGTACGCGTCCATGGTGCTGGACCGGCTGGACCGGAACCGGTTCATCTCGCACCGGCTCTACCGCGACTCGTGCCGCCACATCGACGGGAAGCTGGTGAAGGACCTTAACGAAACGGGTCGGGACCTCAAACGGGTCGTTATCGTGGATGATAACCCAAGTTCATTTACGAACCAACCCGAGAACGCGATTCTGATTCGGCCCTTCGTGGATGACATTTTCGACCGGGAGCTTTGGAAATTGAGAAACTTTTTTGATGGGTCTGATTGCTGTGATGACATGAGAGATGCTCTTAAGCGCTATGCTACTGAGAAGCAGCAGCAACGTTAGATTTCTCATCGTTATGATTTGTATTTTTTTAACTTTTTATTTCCTTTCCCTCTTGAGTTGAACAATGAGCAGTTTGTTCAATGTCTGGTGACACAGGAGGGAAAATGCTGTGTATTACTAATTCTTTAGTTTATCTTTAGTTGATGTGTTAGTTAATGGTTCTTTCTCTTTTGGTATGTTTCTCATGATGCCTAAACTCACTCGGATCTGGTTTTTGGACACTTTCTTGGAGTAGGAAAATGGATGCATATTTGCTTTCAGACATGATGTTCAGTTAACGATTTGCATCAAAGAATTCGTTAATTATTAGAATCCCTTAATATTAGAACCCTATAATCATCGTTGCACTTTGTTGTCTTCTATAAACATTTTACGACGAGGCCTATTTCCAATTAAATGATCAACTACTTGAAAACTCTATTTTGCTATAGAGGAAATAAAGTAAGGGGGGGAATTTATTTAAATTTGAATTGAACAGATATCATGAAGTAAAGAAAAATTTCCAACTTATGTTTTTTAAGAGTCGAACTTCTCTATCATTTTTTCTGTTCTCTTTAATCAAACAAAAGAAAATACATTGTTTTATATGTTTTTTATTTATTTTTTCTGTATTTTTATTTCTCCTCCCCCAAAATATACTTGTTTTGGGTTATGATATTTTCACGTTTTGCTGAATAGATAATTTTCACGTTTTTTTAAATATCTATTCAATAATCTATTTTTAAAATTTTATATTATTATTTATCTATCTCATTTTATTTCTTTTCCATCCATAAAAAAAAAATATTTTAGGGTTTATACGGGATGTTTGAAAAAATTGAACGTAATTTTTTTTTTTTTCACTTGCACAGGTTTCAGATTGAACGCGTGCTGGATAATACAATTCATTCGCACGTTCTGATACAGTAAAACAATAAGGAGCGAGAAATATACGCGATCAATATACTAACAATATCTTTAATTAGAATTACTCATAAAAATTAGTTAAAAATAAAAAAATATTATTTTAATATTAATCTCACACCTAAATTATTTTAAATTGAAATAAAATTATTTATATATATTTCTTTCAATTTTAAATAATTTATATACATGAAATCGATATTAAAATAATATTTTTAATTATAATAATTTTTAAAACAACTATCAATTAAATATATCTTAAATTCAAAAATTCTTTCAAAAGCTTATCAAAATAATGTTGACTAGAGTTATTTATTTTCTTATAAGTAGTTTTTTCTACATAAACAATTTTGGTTTAAGAAAATGTTCAAACATGATCTAATGGAAATCATAATATCTTTTGGTTTGATCAGTTTGTCTAACTCTTAATTATTAAGAAGGTTTCTTAAAATAAAAAATCTTCCAACTTGATGGAATACCATTTTAGGAATTATTCTAGCATAAAAATATTTTAGTATTAAAAATCGTGGAAATGAATACAAAATTCCCCAAAAATATAGAATCTGACTTTTTTTTTTAATCTTAAATTTTGAGGAGGACGTGTTCTTTAATTTGACTGCTATATACATATTCCAAATATTAATTTTTTAGTAAAATTTGGTTGTAATTTAAAGATGGTAAAATGATTCATTGAACTACATCTTTTCTGCTCATCAGTAGATTTAACGAATTGTAGTTTCAAGTAGCAAAGAAATTTCACAAACGACTTTATATAAATGATTAAGCTCACGTGACTGATCTGCACCTACGAAAAACATACTCTGGTTTTTAGAGTATACCATTATATCTATTTACCAGAGCACCTTGTCTGTATAGAACACTTTGGCTGATCCTCGTTTACATTCACTATTATTTCTGAAAAATGAAAGATGCATGTAAAGAAATTAATTTTATATCTCTGTACATTGTTCGCTCTTTACATAAACAAGCTGAAGCTTTGGCAGCTTATTAGGAATTTCATGAACACAATGAGATTAAATGTATCAGCTACTGTCACAGTCAGCCTCCAGGCATCCTTGAAACAGATTTTATTTTACTTTTTAGCATATTGCTCAGTGAATATCAGTAACGAATACGAAAGAAAATTTGCAGTTCCCTGGTGTACGGTGAAAGCTGAAGCTTCTAGATTACATAAGCCACTGCTGTAATCTATTTTACAACATTTTTAATGCTGTAGCTGCGGCAATATTGTGACTACACATTGTTGATAAAGAGCAAGATAATTTTCATGCTAGGGCAACCCATAATAATTTCTCCAAGAAACTTAGAAGGGATAGGAATATATTTCATATGTTGCATCAAAGGTTGTACAATTCAAGAGATCTTGGACTTCGTTATCACCCAGATGTCACAAAAATGCAGATTTCAGGCATTGCGTGTGTGGATTAACGTAACTCTGTTTATCATGAACAGACTGGGTTTTGAAGTTCTGATGATTCTTTCCCAATTTCACAAAGGAATAAAAAGACCTTAATTTTCCTTTGGAGCTTATTTGTGTACTAGATAGTCGTGTTAATTTTGGTCAATCTATCTAAGATCGAACATTTTAAGAGATGTTAAACTTAGTTGTCTCGTAGATGGCTTGAAAGTGCAGATTTCAAGCACCATACGTATGGATTAACATAAATCTGTTTATGGTCAAGAAACTGATTTTTAAAGTTATTGGTGATTTATTTTCAATTACACAAGAAAATAATATACCCAATTTCAATTTAAAGGCCAGCTCTGCATATATATTCCTCATGATAATAATCCTCTATTAGTATACAGAGTTAGTTCTCAGTCTTTTTGTATCACTTTCTACACCAACACTAATAAGTGTTTCATTATGCCCTTAAATAAATTTTACAGGAGTCCACATCAAGCATAGTTCATATATATATATATATATATATATATATATATAAATTAAAAGAGGATTGAATTTGAATTTCAATATTAAAAATACTTTAAGACATAATGATTAATTATAACGATATTATTCTGAATGATTTGAGATTGGATTTATCTCTACTGCATTGATTTTATAAATGGTTGTGGTAAGAGCACTCGGTCCTCCCACGATTCTGGTATTGACATTCTCGTATTCGAGCATGTGTAGGCAAGGGTATACTAATGCTAGTGTTTAATTTGTTTTTTTTTTATTCTAATTTATGCATCTGTTTTATTCTTCAATTTGTGGACTGATTTTTGGATTCAACCATGTTTTTGTTCGTCATCTTAAATTCAAGTTTGAAAAAAATATTATTCCATTTATTTTTTCTAGTTGCTGCCATGGTTGATTCATCTACATGTTAGAAAACTAATAATTATAATGATTTTGATCTAACTATCAAACATAAATATAATCTTATAATGATAATATGTCGTAACCTAAATTAACTAAATTAATAATAATAATATCTTTATAGAGCATTGTATTGATCTTATGGTCTTTTCCCTAAAGAACACCTGTATTTCTTTCTTGATTTTCTCTCTTGATGGGAATAGAAAAAAAGGAATGAGAGTGAAACTTATGTTCTGTCTACGTATTCTCAAAAGGGGACCATGACCTCTTAAAATAACCAAAATTAGGTTAATTACTTAAGTTTTAGTATTTTTAATTTGACCCATCATTAAATTAGAGATTACTCAACATAATTTTATTTTAATGACATATGTATTTAGCCAAACTTTTTAATTTAGTCATATTACTTTATTATTTGGCTTAATAAATAATGACCTTAATCTATTTATTTATGTATCATGTATTTACTTAACCCATGTCTTGCCAACAAATGCATTGCTGGGCCAAATTTTCTGATATACAACCATTGATTCTGCGAGATGCGGTTCCTTATTTCAGGTGCTAATTCACAATGTAAATAGTGCATTTGTGTTTAGAAATGGTAGCATAACTAGAAAAGTAAATTAAGCAACCCTATTGGAGACATTACTACCCTTCCATCTAGGGATGACATGGGCCAAGGGTAGGATACTATAGCAGTGCCTCAAATCCATGTTTTCAGAAAGTATATATCCTCGGAAAACACACCTGCATAGGTAGTAGTAACTTTTGCGTCTATCTCAGTGACTTGATATAGATACCCAGATCAATTACTTACAAATCTGTTAAACACAACATTATTATGTGTTTTCCTAGTTATAAAGATGAAACTACTAGACATCTGATCAGGGATGCTCCTTCATTAGTGAACTAGAAGAATAACCTCAAAACAACAGTGTGACAGACACGAGGATAAATCATTAAAACAATTTTTTTTTTCATCATCTTCGCTTCGATTTCTATTTGAACTTCTTGGATTTTGATTTCAGTTTTCATCATCATTAAACTAGATTTGCAAGTTCTGATCGTAAAGTTATAGGAAGGTATGAGTAATGTTAGTTTTATTTTAAAATTAGCATATTAAATATGGGCGAGTATAGGATGATTGAACGGTCAAGTCTATACATGCACCCGTTACCATAAAATATTGTGGATAAATATCCAAACCTGGTTTTAAATTCATTTAGTGAGTAATTCCTCTTCTCCATCATAGGTATTTTTGTGGGAATCTACTAGGCATAAGTTCAATTGTTATCCCTAGCTTCTTCCATCATTGCCATTGTTAGTTAGCCTTTTCACAAAATCTTTGATCACGTCCAACCTTCATTGCCTTTGTTCGCTGTCTTACTCTTGGCTAATTGACTCTCTTGGACAATGCTCAAATCAGACATCTTCCCTCTCTCCTTTTGATTTGACATTTTCAGTCTGTTTCTTGTGATTACAGCTAGTATGTTGTTATATTTTTTCTTTTTACTAGTGTATGAATCTTTCTAAATGGTAGTATAGCATTGGGAAGGGCGGCTTGAAGGTGTCTGGCTTCACCAGCCTCTGCTCTAGAAGTGGTTTGGTGCTGTTGACCTTTATTTTTAGACACACCTCGATCTTATGGTCTCCACTCTTGCCATAATCATCTTCACACCATTAACCTTGGTCTCAAATGCAGTGTAGTCCAGCTAGTCCCTAATCCTAGACACAGCCAATCCTGACCGTCTCTATTCCCAGATTACAACTCCACATTTTTTAATCTATTGGTTTTTCTTTATTCTTGTTTGAAGCTCCCACGTTGTTTAAGGTTATCCTAATTGATCTCTTAGGAATAGTTTCCATATTTTTCATTTCATGTCCTTATTTAATTACTATCAGAAGTACATACATCACTACAGTATACATAGCTTAGTGCTTTATCTTTTGTATCGCATCATCGCCTCAATATCAATTTGATTCTGTTACTGCTAGTACATTAAATGAAAAATTGACGAACATTAATCTCATTTCAATGAAGCTTTTGGAATGTCAGTAGCGCGCCAAAAGAAAAATCAGGTCAGAAGACAAAATTACACAGCAAAAGATAAAATGTATTCATCTCCTTCTGTCTCTCTATCCTAAACATGATTCCAATCTGACAAATCATAGACTGAAAGAACAAACCAACAACAAGTACAATTACATACAAATTGCACCCCACAAATTGCACTTTCGGGCGGCGTAGATCCCAAAGAGAAGAAACCAAAAAGAGAATGGATCTCACCGGATCAAGGCGCAAGAGTAAACCTGTTGCGGCAACCTCCAGGCCTCAGATTTGCTGAAACACATGTCATCAAGGTCCTCACTGGTGCACCAGCTGCACTTTGAGTCCCGAGAGCACTGAGACTGCGCCACCAACTCTCCACAGTTGTCGGGGTGCTGAGAGTTCCTCGACTCCAACAGCTGCCGACTCGAACCATCCCCGGAAATTCTAGCGCCATATCTGGAGAACCCGTGAGAGGAATCGCAGAGAGAAGCGTGGAGGAGAACGACAAGAAGAATAAGGGCTGACACCAAAGTGAAGGGTTGGCCGAGAGAGAACGCCATGAACAAAATAAAAAGAAAAAGGTCCAAGTTTTGAAGTCGGTAAAGCTCCCAACACACATACACGACAATGGAATAATTAAAACAGAAGTAATTATATTTGACGTATATTTGAATTTTTTGTTCAAAACGAAATGTTCTTAAATATCTCTTTTTTTTTTTCTTTTTTTTTCCTTGAACGGCACCCGTAAATGTCGTTGATGACAAGAAACAATGTATTTTTATTTTAGTTAAAAATATACGGTTGTATACTTGTTAAAATAATATTTATAACTATTTTTATAATCACAATAACAGGCGAAAATAATAACATTTTTTTATTTTATTTATTGAAAACAATTTGTATAAAAAAACTATTAATAATTGAAGAAGAGTAATACAAAATCTTTTATTAATTTTTCTTTTCATATAAAAAGGTTAGATTCTCACCTCTTTCATGATAATTTTTTATATAAAAAGATAGAGATTATCACCTCGTCACATGGATGTTATTAATGAAAAGAAAAAGAATAAAAATATTTTCTATCAGTTTTAATTTTTTATTTTTAAGATTTAAAATTTAAAAATATTTTAATAAATATAATTATCAAATAAATTTTTTAGTTTAATTAAATTAAATACACATCGAAAGAGAGAAACTAATCACATTTGATGTGAATTTAATTTGCCATTTCCAAACATTTTCCTTGTATAAAACTTATTTATATAATCATACGAATTTAAAACTAATGGTTGTCTTATTCTTAATTGGGAGATATTAATTCATAGCATGTGTTTGGACAGGTTAATAGTTGGGAAACAGGTGGAGAAACAGAGGATGCCTAATTTTCAGGAGTTTCTTCTTCTTAAAAAAAAAAAGATGGTTTCTTCATCCTCCCTGTGACAACCGGTAAACTGCAACAGTTACTTTTTTGGTTGTGTTTTGTTTAGATTTTTGTTTTTCAGTTAGAATTTAATTTTCAAGTTTTATTAGTATATTTTTTAATATAAATAATTGACTAAATAATATAAGAGGTAATGCTTAAAAGTTATTATTGGATGTATTCTTTTGAATAGCTTTTTATTTTGATTTATCACTGTAAGATGATTACTTAAAATGGTTTTTTTAAACTGAAAAAAATAAAACCAATTTCATTTCAAAATTTAAAATATTTGTAGAGAATAATTAATTTTAAATAAAAAGGAAAACTTGTTGTAAAACCAAATTAAAAAAAATACGTGTATAAAACAACTGTAACAAATAAAAAAAATACAACGAGGATAGGGAGGTTGAAAATATAATAAATAATCAGGGTCAGCACGCAAGGGAGACGTAAAACTTAGGGGGTATTGATCACACGCCATTGAAGCCCTAATTCCAATTCTGTCACACGTCTCTCCTCTCAAAGTTTCGTTCTTTTGCCCCCAAATTGTGATATTCAGTGCAAATTGTTTTTTTTTTTGGCGGATAATAATTGTAGATATTATACGCACATACATGCCCTATAGTGGTGTTTGTTCTAGGTTTGCCAATGGAGGGCAAAATCTTGGATTATCAGAATCAGGTGCAAGCTGTGGAAAATTTATTTCCAAGGCTTTCTAGTTTCTCCCTTAGCGACCAGCAATCCAATTCCGATTCTCCTCTGGTAAATTTTTTCATTTCCTTGCTAGATATACGTATGTGTTTTTGTTTGGGGTATTGGAATTTTCTGCACTATTTTTGGACTTTTTATGAGTTGATGTTGCATTTAAAAATGAGACTAGAAGAGAAAGAGGAATAAGGGAACTATTCATGGGTAATTTGCAAACATTAAATTAATATGTTACTTTTAAGTTTATATTATATTATATTTTTTCTTTTTGAGACCGAGTTTAGTATGGGTCTCTATGTTTGATTTTGTTTTTGGTGCTGGATATTATTGATAGGATGATGAAATGGGCGGTAGGAGGAGGAATTGCGTTACTGGAGAGAATTTTGATTCTTTTGCCTCTGATAGCACTGGACGGCATTGTATGAATTCCTCTAGATTATATCCTGAATTCCCCGAAAAACAATTGGAAAAACATAACGAAGACATGGAGTGTTCAGCTAATGTTCAGAAGCAGGGAAGGTACTTCTATTATGATACTCCGCTGCAGGAAGATACTGGAGTTTGGATACCAGTTTCAGTTCCACCTATGCTGGAAGATGATCACAAAGAGTGGTCCAAAGGTTTTCACTCAAACGGTGGCTATTTTCCTGATGATGACTTGGGGTGGAATCATTATGTTGGAGATGAAAGGGAATTAACTATGTGGGATGTGGTAGCAGAAATGTTGCTTGTGGCTCGTGGAAAAGTGACTTCTTTGGCATCAGGAGATATTCATACATATAACTTTTCGTGGATATCCAGTCATGTACTGCTTGAACAAGCTTGGAGAGAGATGGCACAAACCCTTACAGAGGCCAACTTTGGTAATGCGAAGGAACTACTAGAAGCTGAGCCTCCAAAATGGTTACCTGATAGCGCTGCGTCTTCTTGTATGCTTTGTGGTGTGAGGTTTCATCCTATCATGTGCTCCCGACATCACTGCCGGTTTTGTGGAGGAATATTTTGTGGTGAGTGCTCTAAAGGGCGGAGCTTGTTGCCATCAAAATTCCGAGTTTCTGACCCCCAAAGAGTATGTGATGTATGCTGTGTCCGACTTGAGTCTGTACAGCCTTATTTGATGGATCAGGTAAGCAATGCTGCACAGTTGCCAACCCATGACCTGACAGATTTAAGCACTTTGAGATCTTGGGTTAATTTTCCTTGGGGCCAGTCTATGGAATATGAAATTTACAAGGCAACCAACACTATCAAGGCTTATAATAAGGTATCATTTCCAATTGTTGAAGCAGAAAGCATGTATGACTGGTGCTAATTATCATGTATAAAGAATTTTCTAAGGCTGATATGAACTAGAAAGCCCATTATTGTAAATGTGAAAGTCTACTGTATAATTTTCAGGAACTAAAATAAGTTTTACTTCATCTAGAATTTCACTTTTGCAGATTGGTCTTCTAAGGCCCGAGAAGTCAATTCCAGATGTGATTCTGAGAAAAGCAAAAGGCCTTGCAATTATCACTGTGGTCAAAGTAGGAGTAGTAGTTACTTATAATATTGGAACGGGACTAGTGGTTGCACGTAGGGAAGATGGTTCATGGTCTGCTCCATCTGCTGTCTCCACCTTTGGTGTAGGGTGGGGGGCTCAGGTGAAGTAACTATTCTGTAACAATATTGGCCAAACTGTGCAATTACTAATGGCTTTACTTACGAATATGTCTCATTTGCCAAAATCTGTTACTATATACACTGTGCATACTGTTTCCAGTCAACTGTAACACCATAACATTTACTCTAGAATTGCATAGTAACATCTATTGAAATATATATTACACAAAAGCTAAACTTCCACACAGATCCTCATTTTAATATTAGTCCACTAACTCCTCAACTGTACCAAGCACTGATTCTGACTTCCTACTCCATACAAACATATGACATCTCAAAATCTTTCTGATTTTTATTTATTTCTATATATTCTTAAGTGTTGTCTTATTTCGTTCACTGCATAGGCTGGAGGAGAGTTGACAGACTTCATCATTGTCTTAAGAACAAATGATGCTGTCAAGACATTTAGTGGTAATATGCATATTTCACTGGGAGCTGGTTTGAGTGCTGCAGTAGGCATTGTTGGTAGATCAGTTGAAGCTGATGTTCGGGCTGGTGACGGTGGTTATGCTGCTTGTTATACCTACAGCTGCAGTAAAGGTATGTTATTTGCGATCAAGTAGTGTACTGAAAGCGTTGGTTTCTGTAACAGAATGTAACTGGATCTTCTCTTTTGCTATTCAATGTAAATATTTCTTGGTCTTGTAGTTCAACTTTCAATACACTCTGCAGTCTCTTCCTATAAAACATTCTACTTTTATTTTCATCAACTACCTGAATATTTATATTTGAACTGGTATGGTTGTAAACTATAGCAACGCTGTTTGTGAAAACTTTAGTAATTGAAGATGTTATCATTGTCGTCATTATCTGTATTGGTTTGTGGATAAAATTCTTCAATAGATATATGTGCTGCTAATCTTCCACTCTCAAGTGAGCAGTTTGGCAGAAGGTTTTCTTAAGGGTGGAGGAGGGGAGAGGAAAGCATAATCTGAGATTAAACTTGATTACCAAATCCCATTTGACATTGATTTGCTCAACTTCTTAATTAATTGCATGCTACAGAAACATGAGAGCGAATTAGCAAAGAACTCTCCCTTCTATTTGTCTATCTTACCAATTCGTACATTCTTTTTTTGTCACCACATGATGGTTAAAATTGACTTCAGTATGGAACCCATGGAAGGCTGATTAGGACTTGATTGTTTCTCACTTAACATGACCCACTGAAACTGTATTTTAGCGATTTCCGAGCATGCTACAAGTGAATCTCCCAAAGCCAGATTCGCTCATAAACTTTTCAGATTGGTGTTTTGTAGTTAATATTAATGTAACCTTTACACCCAAGAATCGAACATGGTTTATGTTGATTGAACTTTTGATGGTTCTTTGTTCCATTTGGAGTTTTTGCTTAGGTGACCTGACTTGAGTCTATTTTGTTTTAGTTTTAGAGTGTAGTGTTTGATCACAAAATTACTACATGCAGGTGCATTTGTTGGATGTTCACTTGAAGGAAGTATGGCGATTACTCGCACGCAAGAAAATTCCCGTTTCTATGGTAGCCAGTCTATAGCTGCGACAGATATACTTGGCTCGTTGCCTAAGCCACCTGCCGCTGCCATTCTCTACCGTGCACTTACTGATCTCTATTCGAAGCTTGATGGATAATTGAATGCTTCAATATTATTCCTTCACCCATTGGACATTGGCATTAAGGACATATTTTGTACAGCTTCAAAGTCACTCATTGTAATTGATCGTGTCATTATTTGTCTTGTAAATATATATGCAGATATGATGACAATTTAATAAATTTGTTTACCAAGATGGAGGTGGAGGGATTGGTGCCTGCTTTAAGGTTAATTTTATTTGGCTAGAATTGCCTTTGATGATTCTTTCAGCTCCTAAAGTTCCTCAACTATATTAATGGCCATAAAAGGAAAGTCAATAAACTATATTTTGCATTTTTAATTTACAATTATAGTAGTATCTTTCCTTTTTACATTTAGGGGCATGATTAATTAAATTTCGTGGTGTAACTATCACTATGCATTTGATGATAATAATAGTAGGTAATAATACTTTTGTTAAAAAAAATAATTGACATGACTAGATAGAGTTGCATATGAGAGGGATCCGGCTGCTGTATACAAATCGTGATAAATGATAAATTTGTTTTATACTCAAAATGAAAGTATAATCATTTAATCTTTAATGTTCATGATTTTATAAAATAAAAAATAAATTTTCGATATTATCTTCTATCATATTATTAGAAGGGGGGGGGGGGGTCGAATTTAAACATCAAAGTGTTATTAAAATAATAATTATTATCATTATCAATTGAATTAGCTGAAATTTGGTTTTATTGAAATTTATTAAGTATAATTATATATATAATATTTATGAGTTTAAAGAATTTTCGATTATATGTTTGAGTTTAGAGAATATATTAATGCACATATACTTTGAATGTTTATTTCAAATGACCCATACAAATGTACACTATATGTTGACAACCGTGAAAAAGTAACGAGACAAAGTAAACATTACATAACCAAAAGAAATTATGGTTGAAGAGAAAATGTCAAAAAATGAAAAAGGGTGGGGCTGCGACACAGAATAGTGAGTTTGGAATTCAAATGTACCATAATTTCTTTCTCCTTTTGACCAACTTCAGGAGGAACAGAGGAATGGTCTTCTTAAGATTCTTGATGATGCTACGCACACATCCTTTGATGGCAATGAAAAGAGGGAACTGCACCAATGCAAATATGCATACAGGGAAGAATGCTGCACAATATGTCAAAGTTGAAGTCCATGTGCTCCCCTCTAGCTTTATGTTCATCAAAATTGTGGCGCTGAATGCTAGCATTGTTGTGGCCATGGAGAAGAACAACAAGGCAAAACCTGCCATCAATTTTCGAGGGAGAGACTTTCGAAAATCCCACATCTCACAGGGAGATGTGAGGATTGAGAGGAACATAATCACCGAAGCCAAAGAACCTATAAGAGCCACAATATCCATAATTGTGAACACCAAGAATATGGGGTGATCAAGAAATCTAGGGATGCCATCATCATCTGTGCCTCCAGGGACGGTGTAAGCTGCTGCAAAAACAACAGTGGCAACAAGAACAGCTACTGCAGAACATGATTGAGCAGTTTCTTTTATCCATTCACGAGCTTCCTTAAGGAGTAATGCATGCTTTTCCACAAAAAGTTGCCTTGCAGTTTGGTTTTGCTTGTTCTTGTGAACGGTGTAATGATAAGGGAGTCTCTTTTCTATGCGCTGTATTATTATGATGAGTGCACAATATGTAGACAGAAAATGATTAGATATCAGTTAGAGATACACACATTAGATTGTAAGTAATGTAATGACTACTAAATTAGTCCTTGGTAATTTTGTAAAATTTCATTCACTTAATTTAATCTTCTGTTATTTCTTTTGCCACATTTTCTGCAAACTTCAATAACAATGTGGGGATATAATTTCTGATAATGACAAATTGAAAAGGATACTTACATCGAACCAATGCAGCTCCTCTTGCAGTTGCATAGCATAACCAGGTTGGGAACCCCCTTGAAATTCTGCAGTGTAGTGAAGGACAGTGTTATTTTCCTTGTCTATTTTTCCAGCAAGACTTTTCACCATTTTCAATTTCTTCAAGATTTTATAAATTTTCTTCTGGCGGTGCTTGACAGCCATGTACAATATGTTTTGCTCGTCGTCACTAACATGCTCAATTGAATGAGGATGAAAACGAATTATTAATTCAACAATCTCAGTAATTCCATTGCAAGCAGCCATAAGCAAGGGGGTATATACTAGATTGCTTTCACCCTCTGGTCTCTTTTCTTCCTCTCGTTTCTTTTCTTCCTCTCGTTTCTTTTCTTCCTCTGGTTCCTTATTCTTCCCTTTGAACTTTCCTTCAGGTAGTGATCTCCCCATAGAAACTGTTCGATCCCTTGCTATAGCAGTGTTTTCCCATGAATAGTCTTTTTGTGCTAGCAAGTATACCAGATCCCTCGCTAGATTATGCATTTCCTTCTTCCTCCAAAGTTTATCAATCTCCTTCCATTCTGAACATCCACAAACCAAACACGCTACTTGTGAGAAGGAAAAAAATGAAGTCCAAACATTATATATATAATTTGTCTGAAAATATTTATCTATAAATATTTTTAGAAAAACAATAAAAATAAGTTGATTTCTTCATAGATTAAAATTACTTTATCTATAAGTTAAAAAAAAAAAATTGTTTGCTTGGAGTAGTTTATCTTGAATTTGCACCTTTTGCTATAACCTTCCACATGGTGTGCCAAATCCGTGAAAAAACTGCAATTGAAAAAAATGAGTTAAATCTCGATTACATAAATCATATGGGTGCATTATTTTAAATAATTATAATTAACTATTCATTTTGAATTATATAATAAAAATTTGTAATAGTTTTATCATATAACTGGATTAAAGAAAAAAAATGCTTATAGATTATTTATGATCTCAATTTTTAAATTGTGTGTTGGAAAAGGTTTATCAATCTAGTCTAAAAAACTAGAGTAGTCACTCATTTCATTAAAAGAAATTACACTGAAATTGTAACGAATTGGTTAGTCATGACGATCTTTAACTCATGGTTAATATCACATTATTTTTAAATCAAATTTTGAGTTTTATCTCAATAATTTAGATAATAAATTGTTTTCTGAAATATTACATATTACTAAAGGAAAACTTAAATTTAATAGAAAAACAATACCAAAATATGATATTGTATTTAAGTTTTTCAAGTAAATTGAAAATTTCGTGTATTTCACAAGATATTTTAAAATTATAATGTGTTCAGTTTGTTTTACAAAGTTCCTCCCTCTTTAAAATTCCTAATTTCCTCTTTTTTTTTAAGTATTCAATTTAAATTAAAGAATGAAATTTGAGAGAGGAAAAAATAAAAATAAAAATATTTTGATTAAGAAAAAAATTATTTATTATTAATTATTTTATTTATTATTTTAAGATATGTATTTATTATTATAATATAAAATAAATTAAAAAAAATATTATAATGTAAAAAGGGTAAATGTCCTGGCATGCACTTTTTTTTTACGTCGAAAACTGTGAGATCCTTATATTTTTAAGGAAAATGTTTGATATACACCCTCAAAATTCCAATTCCCTATTTTTCATTTAAATTTAAAAATTATAAATTAATTTTATAATAAAAATATGAGAGTGAAAGAGATTGAAGGGGTACATTTAACTGGACTGTCCAGAAATAAGAATCCTATTTTTAAACACTCCAACTTTTCATTGGAATAATACACTTAAACAAAGAAAAAACTATTTTGACACTGTCGTTTCTACTAACATTTAATATATAATTGGTTTTAATACTATAATAATTTTAAATTAATTTTATTTTTATTAAATCTTTTTATAATTATTATATTAATAAAAACGATTGTCCTCAATTTTCTTTTGCAGCGGTTGTAAACATATCACCGCTCCTTGAACAAAGACAGTGGATCAGTGAAAGAAACAGAAAAATAACAAACTTTTTTGACACGTTAAATCTTTCCTAACAAAATTATTACATTTAAGTTGTTTAAAATTAATCTCACACTGTGGTTTACGTTTTGACATATTAATTGGATATACCTGAGAGGTTTGTTTGAGTTGCAGGTGATTCATTTCTTCCCTTCTTGTGATTTTTCAGTTTTTGCCCTTCTCTATTGCTATCCTCAAGGCGCGTTTGGGTTAAAGATGGTTCATTTTGGTAGTTTCGGCCACTTTCCACATCTTCCTTTTTTGTTGTGCATTCCATATTTTGATGGTAATATTTGTAATCTTGAAAGTTAGGAAGCACTGTGTCACAATGTTGCAACTGTCAGCATAACTTGCTATGTAACATGAGCTAGGATTTTACTCATCATCTCAATTCCCACACGCTAAATATGCATGCTTGTTATTGAAAAGCTAATTAAATCCAGGAATATAGCTGGAGAAGACATACAAAGGTATATGAAATTTTTGAAGGGCCCCATATGGGTTTGACTTTTAAAAGTAGAGGGCATCTTTGCAAGCAATTGGAGAGTTGTGAGGTCATTTTGTTCTTTTTCATAAGCCAGGTATTCATACCGTTTCAGTATCCATACAGCTGTGCCTGCATTCAAAACAAACATGTTAGGACTTCGTTTTGGTTGCTAAAGAGAAAGGAATAATAAAGAGAGAGATGGACCAAAGAACTGATCAATGACAGCAGTGTGAAGAATGGACATCTTATCCCCGTCTCGGTGAAAATGAATGTTGGGATCAACTCGATACTCTTCAAGGAAGACTCTGAGCAACTCCGTCTTTCCGAGTGCAGCTGCTCTGTAAACTGGGGTTTCTCCCAAATTGTTCCGCATCTGCAGCAACGCCTGATACTGATCCGATCCTGTTTTCTCCTCGTGCTCCATAATGCTCTTTGCCATTTCCACTTCTCCAGTGAAGGCCACCTCATGAAGTGGCGTGTTCCCCATGTCATCCTGCAACCTCAGCACACGCTTTATGTCTCCCACACCCACCCACTCGATCATTTCCTTGTACATTTCTGGGTTCCCACAGTGTGCTGCGTAGTGAAAAGGAGTGCTGTGGTGCAAGTCGATTTGCTCATCCAACAGATCCTTGTGTTTGCTGAAAAATTTCCTGAAACCTTCCCAGTCATATCTCTTGGCCAATATATATGGCTTTTTCATTCTTTCTATGCGCATGACTACTTGCCTTGTCAACTCAAATTTCCTCCTCACTCGTTCTTCCTCTTTCATCACTCACTCACTCATCTATCAATCATAACTCATGCATGGAACAATAGTCTCTCCTTTTATCATGGAAAGGAGTCAATATTACATCCATCGTAACCCAGAAGACAAATTTGTTAGCATATATGCTTTGCTTAATTAATTCACAACACAAAGTGAATAAGCTACCAAGAATAATTAAAGTTAGAGGTTTCCCTTTGCTTTTTGAACATTATGTATTCCTTTAATACATGGAGTGGCTTTGTTAATACTCACAGGCAGAGAGTTACCCTTTCCATATTCCTTCTACAATTATTTCAGGATACTAAACTCTTATTAATCATAATAATTTTATACCATATTCCTCCCACATAATTTATTATTTTTAATGTATACTTAAAAACAATTTTTTTAAATCATTTTGCTTAAATAACCTCTCTTCTAATTATGTTACTTTATTTTGAATAACTTCCACTTCTAAGGAATATATTACCTCATGTCGAATTGCAAAAGAAATAAAAAAAAAATAAACTCCTACTGGTGAGGAACGTGCAATAGAGAAAAGGAAGGTAGTATACACTGGATATCATCTTTTTCTCACGACAAATTATCTATTTTTTTAAGCTCTTAAATATTAAATAATTTTATCTAACATCACTTAAAACAAATATGTAAAGATAAAACACTAACTTTTATAATTAGTACAAAATATTTTGGTATAATTTATTACTTTTATAAAAACATGAACTTTTTTTTGCCTTTATATATATATATATATATATATATATATATTTTAATAATCACAAATGAAGAGAAAATATGAAATAAGTATTAAGTTTGCCTAAAGAGGAAGTAAAGGTGGCTTTGTAAAGAATGACCCTTGATGAATCATTGAAGAATTTTATTTTTTTTCTAAATAAAGGTAGAAGATATTGATTTCTCATACTAAAAAAAAAATGTAAATATAAATGCAACCATGATCTCTAAACATGTGAAACACGTTTTGAATTGATAAAATTATCTCATGAAACAATCTTTAATAGAAAGTAAAAGAGTGATATTTATTATATAACGAAAATATTATCTATGTCAATAAATATTATAGTAATAATATATAATTTATTTATTTAATAATAACCATTAAATGTTATTATTTAAAATAAAATGTTAAAATGTTTATAAATAGGACTATTTTAGTATTTATAAATCATTTAATTTTCATTAAAAAAATTATCATTACTATTCTCTTTTTTCTTTTCTTGTAGTGACATCAAAGTGACTTTATCTACTTTTTTTCCAAGATTTAATAAAGTTCAATCCAATCAATGATAAAGTGCCAATCATTATTTTTGGGCAATAACATCACCTAAATCTAAATTCTAAATGTTGAGAATTAACTGATGTAGTTGGTTAGTGTGAAATGTCACAGAAAAAAATGTTAGAAAACTTTGATATAAATTTAGTTAATTGATATAAATGATTCGGTATTACTTTATTCACGTTAGGCTTTTCAATCTAGGTTGAATTAGTGTTTTCAAACTAATAATATTAATATTTTAGTTTATTAACATAATAAGTAAATGAATTATATATAAGTTTTGATATATTATATTAAATATAAAATAGTTAAAATTAAAATCTAATAAACCTATTTTTAACTTATTCTAAATTTACCCAAATTTTAGGTGAATTAAAATGCATTCATTCTTAAAATAAATAAAAATTATAGACTTAATTTATTGTATTAATAAAAAAAATTAATCAATTTATTTATGTTAACGATAGCTTTTTTTAGATTTAAATTAAGTATATACTTAGGATGACATTGAAGGTTAATCAATTTGTAAACCTATTATTATTCATCTCATTATTTATCTCAACATGACAATCATCATCAAATTAAGCTAATAATAGGATAAAACGAGTTAACTTATTTTTGTTTTTTTTAAAACAATTTTACAGATATAAAAAAAAATTATTATTATTATTAATAAATTGTTTCATAAACTTCATTCCTCTAATAATAATAAAAGTTAATATTTAAACAGTTTTAAATTAAACAATTAATATGCTTTAATTAAATTTTTTTATTTTAATTATTTATGAGATAAAAATTTAATATTACTTTCTCTTTTTTTATTTGCATACGAGCTTTTAGTGTGCAATTCAGTTGTCTAAATATGCATTTCCTTCTCACCTCCACCATCCAAACCCACTGTCTGTGGGAGGGAGCCCACACACACGGGAGATCTAGGTAAACATGATTTGTAAGAGGGAAAATATTTTTTTACACCTAATTTTTTAAATATATTATAAATAATTATAAAATATTATTTTTATAATAAAAAATAATATAAAAATCTAAAATTAATTTTTATAAAACTATATTAAAAAAATGATTTTAATATTTTTCTATAAAATATTTAATTTACAGCTGATTTTAATATTATAATAATAATAGATTTAAATTATTTTATTTTTATCTTATCATTTTACAATTATTATATTAACATATTGAGTTGTTTTATAAACCTTATATATTGACAACAGATAAAATAATACCTATAAAAGAATTTGGTACATTAATATAATAATTATAAAAGATAAGATAAAAATAAAAAAAAATTAAAATTATTATTATAATATTTAAATCGGATGTGATTGACCGGGGGAAGGAATCGGATGTAAATTTTTGTCTTGTTTCATTGGGTTTTTTTTTTCCTGTAAAGGTATCAGGATCCTACTGTAAATCCGCGTTAGTAATTATATAATTGATTATTGTTTTCTACTATAACAATAAATTAACTATTAATAAAAATAAATTAATTTATCCTTTATTTTCAACCAAATAAACTCCATTTTCATTTTTTTTATTTTTTATGTTAGCCTATTTCTTTCTTATGCGCTGACCAAGACCAGAAATTAATATCTCCGGATTCGATCTTCTAATTCACCTCCACAAAGCCGTCGATGAAGCCCTAGGCACAGAAGGAAAGCCGCCTACGAAGCTTCCGGCGAACGAAGCTCCACTCGCGACGCCCACGCCGCTTTGAAGTCTACCGACGTTGTTACTTGTAAGCCCTCGCCCATTTCGTTACTGCGTATGCGCTTTCGTTTTGCTTGTGGTGGCCTTCACTGGCTAATCTATTTTGGAATTGTTGTTAGGTTCTTGAAGGCTAAGACCTTTTAAAATCCTCGCATCGATAAAGAGAAGACATTACTGAAAAAGGTAATGGATTTTCGGATTCAGATGGAAAATTTTGTTCGATGTTTCTCTGTGAACTTTGTTTATGGCTAAGAAGATTTTTCCTTATTCTAGTGGTCTCCTTACTATTTCAGCACACCATTCAATTCAAAGTGATCAACTTTGGACCATGACATTCTTGTTTTTCTGAGGTGATTTGACTTAGCCTAATTGTATTAAATTCCTGAAGTTGATTTCCCTTGGAATGATATAGCTTTAGCAGACACATTCTCACAAGGACGTGAATAGTTTGCTGGACAGTCCTGTGGATCAAATTCTGGTCAGAAGACATTATTTTAAACCAGATGCAGTATATTGAATATTTGTCATTTGAGAATATTTTTTAATAGGATGATTATAAAAGATGGTCATGCTTTGGTAGTAGCATGCCGTTCCACGTTTTTAATATGATGAACATAGTAGATGCCAGAGATACTGCTTTCTAGTTTCATTAGTTTTGTATTTTAGTAGTTGCTATGCATTTGTTTTGCTATTCTCACCAAGTATTGTTGTTTTGTATAGAATACTAGCTAATTGGAAATCTGCTGCTCGGTCAAAAGAAAGGAAGTCACGCCATACAAAAGAACTTGAGCTGTTCAGATCCTTCAAACTGAGGCAACAACACGTTCTTCCCAACTCACATTGAACCAGGTTTGTGTTGACTTACATCTAAACGTACTTAAGAATTTTAACCTCCCTGCAAAGAAACAAAGGCTATAATGTTTATTGGCTCTGCATTTTATTAGCTTGATATTTATTCCAGAAATCTCTAAGTCGGTTGAGCTACGTTCAAGCCTTCTGCTGCAGTTTCATTTTTTTTTTTCTGTTTATGGTTCTTATAATATTACATTATTAGCTGCTAAAATTTCTTCAACCTTTTCTAAACAATAAGCATAAGCATATCACAATAAACTCATTTCATCTTCTTCTTTTTTTCTGTAGAAGTGCTTATGGATAAGTTTGTCTAAACCGACCCGTAGACAGTTTTAGTTATGTGTGTTGTATCAGTTTTGGCTTGGCACGTTTACATGAAGATGAAGATTCTTGATTTCATTTGGAATCAATTTTTGAGGGCTTTGCTAATTTTCTGATTGAGCAAACTTTATTTTGTTCACTATTTTTCCAAACTGTTCGACTCTTCCAGATTGGACCTGAATACTGAATACGTTCTTAAACTACTGGACCAGGAAATAGGACATAAATAAGTTCATAATTGAACCTGAGAGATTATATCTCAAGACTAGAACAACTGGACCTTAACTTCTCAAATTAATGAAATTAGTCTCTATATCTTTAAATATAAACTCCGATTCCCAGTTTACGAGTACCATGTATGTAATATCGTAAACATCATTCCCTCATACTGCAGTACTTGATTTCTATTCGTAATCACTATTCTTCAAATCTTGGAAAAAAAAGTGTCTTCACTTTAAAACCTGTGATCATGGTTCATTATTTGTAATTGTTTTCTGTAATTTTTAAATAGCTGTTATGACTTAGAACACGAGTTTTAAGAAATGGTTTAAGGAAGTTTTTCCTAATCAGTATAGGTTTCTTAAACTAAGCTTCCACGATTTTTATATTCTAGAAATGTTGGTGCTGATAACCAACCTATCTGAGTTTTAATCGCAACTCTCTAGGGATTCCATTTAGTCTTCCGGTAACTTTGAAGAAATTATAGTGACCAAAACAAAACCAAGGAACTTAATTTTAAGTCAACAGGAATACCAAAATGAAGTGTATTTCATGTTTGTAATTTTATTCTCCGTGTGGTAGTTAACAGAACCTGCCAAGAACTTTCAACAGTTTTTCCCTATTTCATTTTCAACATAGCATATTGCTAAAATGAAATTGAAATACACATCTACATTCTATAAGTAGGGTTAAATCAAATTTGACTGTATTTAGTATTGTTCCAACCTTCAAAGTAAATAGATAATGCATTTTTTCATTGTTATGCTTGTGTTCTTCTGAATTTTAGCTTTTCTAGAGGGAAAAAATACATGCATATATGTAGCAAACCGAGCAATTGTTAAAATTTACTCAGTTGATTCCAAAAAGCTGTTATTACTCTGCATTTCTCCCTTACAACAACCCTCACTTTGGAGGGAGTTTCTGTTCTTTATACTCATTTTTCTCCGTCTGTCAGTTATCAGTAGTGGCCTGTGCAGAGTCTCCAAAATGACTCTTAAGTCCCTTGTGGTCACATAATTTTATGCCTCTATATTAAAGAGAGGAGCTAAATTTTCCATTCTATGCACCGACTTTACCATCATCAGTTATCACATTAGTGACCTGTGCAGAGTTTGTAAACTGACTTGTAAGTTCCTTATGGCAAAATAATTTGAATTATGGCTCTAAAATAGAGTTTGTGTTGTTGAAGACTTGAAGTTGTGGTGTATCTCTATTGTTTATGAATTTGCTAGAGTAAATTGATGAAGTTTTTTTCTAATGCTGGATAAGCTTCCCTTGACTGGAAGAACTTCGGTGTTGAAGAATCTGCCAATTAATTGCAAGTCTTTTCATCCGTTGTAGTGTTAAAGTTTCTGGATTGTTCTTTCTCAGCATCCATCCGATCCAAATTTAATGTGGTCCTTTTTTATTTGGGTTAAAGTTTTCAGGAGCAAATAACTCAGGAAGAGTTATGGCTACTAGACGTGTTCGATACTCCCCCCTTGCCACAGATGAGGATGATGGTGATATTAACAGACCTTTTGACCCACGATTTGATTATACACCAAAGGCCTTGGATAAAGTTCCCTGGAAATCCATTGCCCTTGCCCTCTTCCTGTTATTCCTTGGTACAGGACTTCTGTTTCTTTCATACTTTATCTTTACTGGTCATATGGGGGGAGAACGTTCTCAAGCATATGGCCTTTTAGCCCTTGGGTTCCTTAGCTTTCTCCCAGGTATGTTGGATTCTCTGAATGTTACATGCATTATGTATGTTAAGTACTGTAGTTTAATTAAATGTAAGACACGAAAATTATTTTGTTTTTGACAACTCTGTGAAACTGCTAATATCGTTTTGGATGAATCGGTTGATAGTTATACATTACTAACAATAAAGATTTTTTGACATCAACTGCATTTGATCTTTTACATAAACAAAGTAATTCTTTTTCTTTCTTCTTTTTCAATTGGGGAGAGATGGCTGAGTGGACTAAAGCGTCCCCCGAGAAACACAGAAAGCAAGCATTTAAATGAATTTTGTCAAATTGGGGATAGTGGATGCACTTCACGATTAGCAGAGAAATAATTCACAAATAATAAACTGCATGAACTATGCAATTTGCGTTTATCAACCTTTTCAATGAATCAGTTAAAAATGTTCTAACTCTAAGGAAATGTGACACATCAATACTCACCTGATATGAATATCATTGCAGATAATACGAAGCATACAATTGTGAATTCATATCACCTGTCCTCATTGTCTATCATACAACATAAAATATGCTACTTAGACATTAACGTGCCATTAATACTATAGTAACACAATTTCATTAGCTAACACTTTAATACTCACTTGTTGATTTGATGGGAGTCGAATAAGAGATGGGCATGGAATGGGTAGAGGTGATTCATCTCTAGGATTATGGTTACAATATGAATTAATGATTATTTCCATCATGTATATCCATATGGAATGATGTTTATTGGCGTGAGTTTTAGCCTGTTTCATATGTTCTAAAGTTTGAAATGTCTCGCTACTTTTGTTCATAAATGCTTTTGCAATAATAAATATTAATTTAGTTTGTGTCTACCATGAGTATGCAGATATTAACATATCTCATGTGAATCTTCTGCAACATAATTTTTATGGATTTCTGGATACAGGTTTTTATGAGACTCGAATTGCATATTACGCATGGAGGGGTGCTAAAGGATACCGCTTTTCTGCCATTCCTGATTATTAGACAGCATTACAGTAAACGAGTAATAGAGCTACTATACCTTGAAAACTTCGTAATGATCAAATATGGTTGCAACTTGTATGCTTAAATAACACAGATGGAATAAAGTGGTAGATGTAATCCTTTTGATATATAATATAAGTAGTTAATCCAGTAACAAAATTTAGAAAAAAAATATGCATGTAACGTGTGAGGTTAAAAATAAGCACAAATTGTGGCTTAAATTTGTTTTAGGCATTTCAATGTGGTAGGACCAACTCGTTATTGACGTTTTATTGTGACAATTTCCATGGTTTTGAAATTTGATCGGATCTTCTCAAGATTCAATCTTGGGTTATTCTTTTGTGAGTAAATGCACTTAAGCACCTGGTTCAATAAATTTCTCTATAAGGACATTCAAAAAAGGAAAAAAAAAAATTAAAACTATTTTATATACAAATTAAAGAAACAAAATTCTGAAAAAAGTTAGAGGAGAGGGTTTTCACAGTTTTTATAAAAGTTAATTTTAATTTATAAAAAAATTATTTTATTTTATAATGGGAGACATTATTATGAAGAAAATTTTCCAAACCGATCAAATAAAACTAGCTGTGGGGCCTAGGTTGAGAAAAGCTAATTGTATACACGAGACTCATGGTAGAATATAGAGGGTAGCATGCATTGATAATTCATGAAAAAGTGAAGAGATTAAACAACCATGAGATCCTTTTCATGTACAGTTGAATTATTACAAACTGGATGTAGCCCCCATTGAATGGTTCAACAAATGGCTAAAATTCGTTATCATAAGGTGAATTTTTAAAATCCTCACTACCTTTTCAATTGGCAGTTTCAACCGTGGTATTATAACAATCACATTCAATCATGCATTTTTTTATAACTTCCCAGGGCTTAGATAAATGATGAACGTGCGCTGAGCTAATTTTGGTCCGGATAAGGTCAGATAGTATTAAGATAATAGTTTTTGCAACCATTGTCATTTAAAAAAAAAAATGGTGGGTCCGCACACAGCATAATAATTTTACTTTTCTTATTGTCCATGCTTAATATTATGTTTAACAATAAAGATAAATCAAAATAATAGTAGAGCGATAAATCAGAAGGATAACAAGGCTTCCTTTTCCAAGTTAAGAGAAGGAAGAAAAGTCAACTGGTTGCATTTTCACTTATCTAGATGGTTAATCTTTTTCTCTGACAGATTATTGTAAACTTCCACGACAGTTCAATGAATATGCAAAATTGCTCTTGCATACCGTCTTATTGATCATTACAACCATCCTTATCTTTACATAAAATATAATAATAATAACAATAATAATAATAATAATTTCTTTTCATATTTGTATTTTGCTAAGCAGTGATAGCAACATAACAGCGTAAAATATAACATGGAGTAACCAATTTGAATTCTATCATCATATACACTAGAGCTATGCAGAGATGAGTCACAGGACTTTTGAAATTATACACTCAGGTGTGCTATGCCTCACTTGCTGGATTTTAGCAATCTTGTTTTACTGCTGCGAAAAAACAAAACTCCCTTTTTACTTTTTATTTATAAAAATCAGTTTAGTAAAATTAACAGAGTTAAAAATAAAACATTCATCCGTTCATTCCTAAGTTCTTTTAGTAGAGAGTAAAAGTGAAAAAATAATGAAAGAAAAGAGAAGAGATAGGAAAAATGTGGTTTATCACAAAAATTGCAATTCACGGCCATGTTTAACGATCTTGATTTTTTAAACATTGAGTTAATATTATTTTTGCTTCTAAACGTATGTATCTCTTCCCTCCATACATATGTATATATATAAACTTGAATTTTTTATGAATGTTATTAATATGTAAGATTTTGGTGACAGGACTCAAGCCCACGACCTACATAAACTTCAATTCAGTCTTTTAATCATCAACACCAATAATGTCAAAATGTTTTTTTATATGAATATATAAATTAATGTTATCTTTTGTCATTGAACGATTTTGAATCCATTTGTTTAAGCTATTAAATAAAATAGTTTAAAGATTGTAACTTGATTTTTTTTTTAACTTTATGTAAATTGAAAATCATTTTTTGTTTCATTATACCTATTAAATACATTTTATTTTTAATAACCTTTTTTTTAAGTTAAATAATTTTGTATGAAAAAAAAACTTGTGTATATCATGATCAGAGTTTTCAACGCTCTCAGGATAATTTCACAACAAACAAATAAAAATACATGTATTGTACAGACATATTCTACAAAAGTAAAATAAACAGACAGCTAAGAAAGTATTTTTAAAAAATCCACTTAAGAAAATTACTTTTTAGATTAACTAAATCATAAAATTATTATCTTTTGATTTTTTTTTTATTGACAAAAATTGTTGATTTTTTTTTCATATCTTGAAATTGTACAGAATCCAATCTTATGTGTTTTAGACATGTGAATACTTTTTTTTTAGTCAAATATATGTATTCTGCAATCTCCAGTTGCTTCCAATTTAATAAATTAAACCATTAAAGGGCTGAAAGTGATAGGGTGAAAGTTTTTCAATCACAATTTTTTTTTACTACTATTTACTCTAACAAATAATCATGACAGGATTGAAATAATAGACCAGCATAATTGTTCTATCAATCATTCATTTACCAAATCATATAGATGCAAGCCACGTGTTTCCTTACAACCCAACACAAACTTTTTCTGTGACAAAACCTTTCATCACTAATTTTGATATTTTATTTTATAAATATAATTGTGTTAATTATTTAAATATGTACACAGAGATTATTAATATGCTAATATAATTAATTTTATTTAATTATTAATCCATGAGGGAAGGAAATCATGATTTTTATTTTATTTTATTGGAAGTAGCTTATATGAATTAAGAGCTAATAATTAGTTTTAGATGTAGTTTCACTTAACAAAAGGTAATGATTGTTTGCAAACTCAAAAAAATTATTAAGATATCAAGAACATATTTTATTATTTTTAACATTAATATAATAATGATATCACTTTTATATTTTATAATGTGATTAATATATTATGATGGTATAAATATATTTTATTTGTGCTATTCAACCTTAGTCAATTTTATGAAAGATAACATGAATTTACCTTTTTCTTTTTTTAAATAATCAAATTAACATTAAACAGTAAAACAAATTTGAGAATAAAAAAAATATTTAACCTTGTAAGATCTTGCTCCATGTATCAAATTCTTTTCTCCATGTCATAAAATTAAAATGAATCATAAGACAAAAATTCTGGAAGTATAAACAATGCATATGTGCTTTATATATATAGTAGCAATCACCTTTCAATAAATTTGTTTTGTACCGTAATGTACCATAGGAATACAAACAAATTTAATAGATGGTACTATATATTATTCATGAATGGATCATGATTGAAGTGCTATTACTAGGTTTTCTATTCATACTTGTTTAATGATGTATCTTTTAATTCCCACATCCCAAATCTAATATACCTAAAATATGAAGAGATGCATACAATCCATACAAATAATAATAAAGTACTCACCATGTTTATTTTAATATCTTGATTTTTAGTATACTATTTGGTAAATATTTTTATATTTAAATTCGATGTAACTTTTTAAATTATTAATAAAGTGTCAATGCCATTAATATATTGTAATTCATAATTGGATAATAATTAAAATACTTTTACAATATTTTATACTAATCAAATTTGTATTTTATGAAGACTTGAAAATTATTATGTTGGTTGTGGTCTATTAGGTTAATTTTTTCATTAACGATATTTTGAAAATTTAAAAATATAAAATATACAATTTAAACTATGTACAATTCATTAATAAATAAAAAACATATTGAAAGGAATACTAGTTTAAACATTTATTCTTATAATATTATTCATTTAAAAATAAATTTAGAATTTAATATTATTCAGTAAAAAGAAAGAAAGTAAAAAAAAAGAGATATAAAGTAAGAAAAAAAGAAAAGAAAAGAAAATAAAGAATAAAACAAAAGAAAGATTAAATAAAATAAAATAATTTATATTTAAGAGAAAAATGATATGAAAGAAAGAAAAATATTATTTTAAAAATAATAAATAATTAAATTAAAATTATATATTTATTTAATTATAAAATTACTTACATAATTATTAATTAAATTTTTATTAATAAAATAGCTTTTAAAGATAATATCTTTAAATTATATATCTTATTTTTCAATAATATATATTTTGATATATAATTATAAAATATTTTAATGATATAATTATTTTTCAATCATGTAAAATTAAATTAATAAAATAATATTATATTATAAATATAAAAATTATTCATTTTAATTTTATAATTACATTTATATTTATAACATTTATTAAAATAATATATATATATATATATATTGTAAACATAAAAATAATAATCAAATTTTTTATAAAATAATGTTTTCTTATATTTTTATTTATTTTTCTTATATATAAGGAAAAAAGTAAATATATCTATTATAATGAAAGTGATATTTTTTCTTTATTGTTTTCATTCTTATCATACACAAGAAATTATTATTTTCTACCTATTTGCTTGCATTCTTTACATTATGCAAATAAATGGAATTTGAAAAATAAAATTATAATCATGATTCATGTAGTTATAATAATTCTATAATTTTCTTAATAATAATATTAAAGAAAAAACATATTTTAGTTTAAAATATGTTTTTGAAGTCAAATGTATTGGAAGACTTTTTCATTTCATTAAATTTATTTTATTAAAAACTATTCATAATTTATATTTAAAATATTTTATTACATTTTCTATTGCCTAATAATAAATTATTTGAATGAGTTTGAAATATTAAATATTGTAAATATGATCGTATTTTTGAAGTTAATGCCATTTATTTTAATTGTTTGTTAATATCTTAAAATTTTAAAACATATACTATAAACCATTTTAAAAATATTATTTAAAAGAATAATATAATGATAAAAAAATTGTACTATGATAATCATAATCACTATTGTACAGTACATTTTATAATTATCATATATATATATATAACTAAAATTCCAAAATGTAAAGAAAATACGTATTTAATTTATATAAATCTCAAAATGTAATTGAAGTTAATTCCACGTCTTGCTAAATGTTTTTCTAAAATTTTAAAACTTTAAAACTTACATAAATCATTTTTAAATAAATCTTTATTTTAAAAGAAAAACATAAGAAAAATTATGATAATCATAATTAGTATTTTTTATGATTACTATAATTATAACTTTTAATTACATTTTTTATTAAAATGTATTTTGTTTATATATACAGAACTCTTACACTTTTTCTTTTCTTTAAATGTGTTTTAAAATGCTAATAAGTTCGATTTACAATGTTTTAATACATTTTATATTCACCAGTATTAACTCTTTTAATGATTTGAAAATGTTAAATATTTTTAATTTAAACATCTTTAAATTAATGCTATTTTTTTAAAATCTTTTTTATTATTATTTTAAATTTTAAAAACTTATTGTACTTACTTACATACTATTTAAAAATAAATTCAGACTATAAAAAAATAAGAAAATTACAATAAAATTATAATTGACAACCATAATCATTATACTTGTAGTTATAGTAATTTATATTTTTCACAATCATAATTTTTATGCATATTTGTAACTGAAACTACATTTCTTTGTACAGAACTCAATATGTTCCTGGACACTTTTTTTTTTCTTTCTTCTGTAAACGCATTTAATTAAAATTAATAAAAATTGTTATTTAAATATTTATTACATTTTGTATTATGTAATGTAAACGCATTTAATTAAAATTAATAAAAATTGTTATTTAAATATTTATTACATTTTGTATTATGTAATGTAAACGCATTTAATTAAAAATAATAAAAATTGTTATTTAAATATTTATTACATTTTGTATTATGTAATATTAAATCATTTTAATGATTTATAAAATAAAAAATATTAACTATTTTTATTATAGTAAATATTATTTTTATTTTTAGACTAGCCATTCAAGCATTTAAAAAAAAAAAAAACTAAACCATTCAGGACACTGAATATGTCGTACTTATTCATGAACTTCCAATCCATGTACGAGGTCAGAGCAACAAAAATCCTGTGATCTATGAGTCAAAATTAGCTTTTTCATTTTTTATGGTGTATTTTTTTTTTAAATAAAATAAAATAAAGCAGAATAAATAGGGCAGAAGAGAAAAGAAAACAAAGGAGGAAAATTCAAAATTGTATTCCTCTTAGCCTGGAAGCATCCAAAAATATTTGGAAGGACTGATTGACTAAAAGACGTCTTTTCCCTGCACCTTCCCATTAATATCTCCATCATGCGAATTTAATTAGTTTTAATGTCTTTCTATTTTAAAAAGAAAATAGTAATTAAATAATAATTTATATTTACTTGACCAGCAAGTTCTCTTTTTTTTTTTTTCTTTTTGAAATTAAACATATTCCATTTTTATCTGGAAAATTCAAATCATAAATACCGTTGAAAAACATGGTCAGAATTTAAGCTTTCCGCTGATATGGACAAAGATATGAACTTTCCACATTTGGAGGAGAAGCAATCTCTTTTTTCTGTTACGCTCTTTCCAAATTCATCTTTGTTGTTGGGTTTGAGCATTTTAATCTGGACAAAGATTTCACCTTTGGGTATGTGATTCATCGCAGGCTGTAGCTGCGGGGGGAGGGCTGAAGGTAAGGCTGTTAGCACTATTTTTCTTAAAGGAGGGTTTGTAAATTGAATTGGTAAAAAGGGTCACCCTTTTTTGGCAATTATCACTTTCTGTAATCTGAGATTGGTGAAACCTAGCTAGAGAGGAGATGGGGGAGGGAGAACAAGGATGAATTTTTTTGGATGCAAGTGTGTGTTTTGTTTTATAGTGGACATACTTGTGAAAAGGTGAAAGTTTTTTTTTTTTTTTTTTTCTGGAGTATACTGAAGGGTTTCTGAGGGTTCACTTTGTCTTGAGATTTGTGTTTTGTATGATGGAGGAGGCTCAGGGCAATTCTAGTTCCTTGCCTCCTTTCCTCGGCAAGACTTATGACATGGTGGATGATCCTTCCACCAATTCCATTGTTTCTTGGAGTGCCACCAATAAGAGTTTCATTGTTTGGAACCCACCAGAGTTTTCAAAGGATCTGTTACCCAGATTCTTTAAGCACAGTAACTTCTCCAGTTTTATCAGGCAGCTCAACACTTATGTAAGTAACTTCAATCTTTTTCATCTTCATGGATTTGATAAATGTTAGTATTATTACTATTTTCTTGTTTCCTGGTAAAGGTATTGATTGCTTGAACCATGCATTGGTTTGCTGTTTGATCAGGGGTTTAGAAAGATTGATCCTGAACTATGGGAATTTGCAAATGAGGGTTTTGTAAGGGGTCAGCCACATCTTTTGAAGAATATTCATAGGCGCAAACCTGTTCATAGTCATTCTTTGCAGAATATTCAGGTTCAAGGGACTTCTCCACTGACTGAATCAGAGAGGCAGAGTTTCAAGGATGAGATACAGAAGCTTAAAAATGAGAAAGAACAACTTCTTCGGGAGTTAGAGAGGCATGAACAAGACTGGAAAATGTATGAGGTACAATTACAATACTCTAATGATCGATTGGAACAGTTGGAAAAGAAGCAAGAAAATTTGGTTTATTCTGTTTCTGAAGTGCTGCAAAAACCTGGGATTGCCTTAAATCTGTTGCCACTGACAGAGAAAGGGGATAGAAAACGGAGGTTGCCAAGAAGTGGTCTCTTAAGTGATGACGCTAGCATTGAAGATCATCAAATGGAAACTTCCTCTGTATTACCTGGAGCAAACACAGAGGATACTTCTACTCTCACACCAAACATGGAGCGAATTGATCTGCTTGAGTCATCTATCATGTTTTGGGAGAATATTGCACATGATGTGCAAAGTCACGTGAGGATGGATTTTGATGATTCGACAAGTTGTGCTGATAGTCCAACTATATCTTCTGTGCAGCTAGAACTTGAAGTTCAACCTAAGTTAATTGGTATCAACGTAAACTCTGAGTCAGCTATAGCTACTGTTCCAAATCTTGATACATCCAAAGAACAACCAATGGAAACAGTTCCTGTGGTCACTGGTGTTAATGACATCTTCTGGGAACGATTCTTGACAGAGAATCCTGGTTCTGAAATTCATGAAGTACATTCTGAAAAGAAGGATTCGGATGGCAAAAGTAATGCCAAATTTTGGTGGAATATTAGGAATGTAAATAATCCTCCAGAACAGATGGGACATTCTTAGTCAAGCAGAGCCAACTTAATTACAATTGATTTTTCTCCTAGCTTGAGATGTCCTGCAATTTCATGTAATAAATGTAGGTATGTACGGTTGGCTCTACTATGTATACATATGTCATATTCTTGGGTTAAATGGTTGCATCATCTATAGAATTTTGTCAATTATTATAATGCTCAATAAGTCTCTTTTGGTTCTACTTTCTCAAAACCTGTTTTGATGTGATTATGATTTTTCCCCTTTTGATCCATTTTTTTGTTATTTTTCCATTATAATAGAAACCAATTGCATGTACTCTGTGTTACTGTCTATTGCCGCAGCTGTGGGGTGGTACCAGTATTAAAAGTACCAAATATAGATATTTAAAAAAAAGGTCTGAGTCTATAAATCATGTAAGTACATAATTACATACCCTATATTAAGTATTTCTAGTTTTATCTGGGAGTAAAGATTGAAATGTGGTAGTTCTGGTCCCTTGTTTTCACTTTGAAAGTATGATTTTTTTTTTTAAATTATCTAGGACTAAGTTACCTCACTATTTATGAGTTTTAAATGAGACCAGGTATAAGAATATCACTTGGACTACCAGGATAATGAAAATTGATATTTTTGTATTGGAAGAAAATATTGTGAGGAGATACTTTCAGTTCTAATATCATCATTCAATAAATTTCATCAATTCTGATTAATGAATTTATTTGACACTTACGACGTTTATTTCAAAAGAGATTATCAGAAAATTAAAATTTTCCCATTATGAAAGCATGTATAATGATTTATGATTATGAATGTATATTTCTAGTTCTGTTTTCTTTATTCAACTATTTCCACAGGGTTTTACATCTTTCTGTCAATCTCATTAGATATACATAGTGCAAGGCTGATCAGTGACTACATATAATTACAGGGTGCAAAAGAAGAAATTCTAGATACATTCATGGATTATCAGTACCTATACATAGTGATCATCAACTAATACTGTGATGTTGTACTAAAGTTTTAGTCTATATTACATTCTTCTTTGAACTGGTGCTGGACTTCTTACAAATGATGATTGTTGGTTTTAACTTAAACTTAGATGTGTCTGGCAAGGGAGACATTAACATACATTGAGAATAAAAAATTTTAATGTACAGACTACTTTGTTTGGTTGAATTGTGGCCGAACTTCTCTGCAAAAACTAAGAGAAAAAATATAAAAAGAATGAAATTGACTTCTTTTATGAGTTAAAATGAGTTTATATATTAGTTAGTTTATATAAGTTCTCATGTAATTAACAAAATGTTTTTAACTTTTGTATATAAGTTAAGAAATTAATTTTATCATTTTTTTCATTTTTTTTCAAAAGTCTTAATAGAAAAAATGGTCCAAACAAATTTTAAATCTGCATTTATGTAGAAATAGGAACAGAAAATATTCTTGCTTCATGCACACACCTAGAGGATATTTTATTTTACATGTGAGAGAGGGGGAAATTGTTTACATGGAAGGAGCTTGTTTACATATTTTATTTCCTGTCGTTTTATCAACTATCTCGGTTAAACAATTTTATGTATGACAGTCCATTTAATTTTCTGCTGAATGTGGAAAACATGACAGCTATAGCAGTTTGCTTTTCTATGTACAAGTTGGCCATTTTAATTATTTTCTGTCGCTTTTTATTTGATCATTGCTATTGTTTATTCCAATGGAGTTCTGTTTATTCGGTTCATGACGACTTTGTATTGGTTTATTTTAGTGGTTCATGTTTATTTTGGTCATGAAGCTTTCTGCTGAACCATGTGATGACATGCTGCATTTAGCAATTTGTCTTCATTTTTATATGGAAGTAAATAAATAAAAAAAAATGCATTTACGTGACAGTTGCCAATTTATGTTGTTGAGTAGCATGAAAACCCAGAATTTATATTGATTTATACTTTGAACTATTATGTGAGCGTTATACCTGACACTGAAGTTAAATTTGAGTTCAAGTGATTTTCTGAGGGTGTATGTCTAATTATCATTTTTGTGCAGATCTGAAACAGTTCTCCTACCAATATCTCGTACACAGGACAATTATTTTACCATTGATGAAGATCTAAGTCAAATTGAAAGATTCTGATAAAAAATTGACCAAGTTATCTGCACAAACAACTAAAGACACCGATGGAGTAAATAGTAGTGAAAATTCAATTGGACCAGTTTAAAGTTGAAAAAACAAAGGTGGTTTAAATTGATTTTTATTTTTATGTTTATTTAATTATTTATTTGAAAGTACTTTTACCTACATAAAAAAAACTTTATTATTGATTTTTTTTATTTATAAAGAAAACAATGTTTTTATGAAAATTGAAAAGTTTGTCCAAAGTTAAGTTTCTTTTATAGTATCATGCAAGTTTAGTTTTTTAAACATCAGATAATATTAAAAATAAATTTACCATTTTGGAATTTAATAAGATTTTCAAAACATTGCTTCTTACAGAAGTATTTCCAATATGATAGATAACAAAGTGTAATATGTTTCTATTATTATGATGGTGTAATATTCTCAAAATCAGTTTTTTTAATAGAACAATTACCTTTTTTCATCAAATTATTGCAGTTGTACTTTTTAAGTTTTCGATAACTTTTTCCCGCTTGGTGCAAGTAAAATGATTTTGTTTGTTTTCAACCTTTTCAATAAAATAATCATGAAAATGTTTTTGCTTGTAACTTGTCAACAAGAAAAAGCAGAAGTTGCTCACGAGTTGTAATCCATTTCACTTTCACAACCCACTCAAAATGAGACTGAATGGAGTAGCTCTTTGGTCAAAGTAGTGCAGAGAGATAGAGACCCAGTCAAAGCCAAACTAAACCTTACTTTTGACCCAAAGTAACTATGATCCATAGCTAAATATAATTTGACTCTGGAAGTTAAAAGTTTGTGTTTATTCAGTCCCTCTAAATCATACAGCTATGGAATGTGCAACATTTATGTCAAGTTTATGCTTCTATCAACTGTTGTTAATATTTTATGATGAAATGGTTATGTTTATATGTTGTGTTAATTTTACAAATGGAGTTCTAAATATCATAAGGAACACATAGGTAAACTTAGACTGAGAAATGAAAAAGCATGATGAAAATTTTAAGAATTATGATAAGTTAATCATCAAAATGTAAATGATTTTTGGGTTGACGATGATCATAGTTATTGATAGGCTTGCATGTTAAACTATAATGTGTTCCAAAAAACTAAGTAACATGGATTTCATGCTGCTCCTATAACCTTATTCATATGTATAATTTAACATGCTATCCATTAAACTAAACAAGTTCTCAATGAAAGGTCTAATTTATAGTGAGTTTTACACATTTGTTATTAAATTTTAACATACAACTTTCCCATTCTACAATTAGAACCATAGAAAATTTAACATTAATGACTATATTACTTCCTAACACATTTAAGAAGCCTTAACATGGCTATTTCTTTTTATGGAAACTTATACATAGTTGAAAGTAATACAAAGCAAATACTTTCTACTGGTTAATGAGAAATTATTAAAATAAGTTAGAGCAACCATAAACTTATTTTGATTAAACCAACCAGTAAGTTAATAAAATCAATTCATAAACTACTAAAGTGATTTGTCGAATACATTTTTTAACATTACATTATAATAAAATGGTTTTGTCTAAATTAGAAAGAGATTTAACAAGGTCTTTAAGTACACTTATTCACAATTAAGTTGATATCTATTTTTAAACTTAAAACTGACTCCATTATGGTGAGTTATGTTACCTTTTTTACATATATGTGAATGAATATAAGTTTGACCTTGGATATTATAAATTTTATTTTTTTAAAATACAATATGCATTTTAGATGATAAAGTGAAAATCTTTTAATCAATGCTTGAAATTTTTGAAGACATCTTAACTGGTCATGGATGCATAAAGATTCTAACAAAATTTTAACTATTAATTTACCAAACAACTTTTATAACTTCAATCCAAAGTTACATGAAAGATGTGATTTAAGTTATAATTATCAATATATGTTCAAGAACTGAAATGAAAAGAGTGGTTAAATTTGAAAACTGGACTTAATTAAAACTAATTGCAATTTTGTTTTATTAAAGACTAAAGTAACAGCTTACCACAATTTCAAATAATGAGACAATTTTGTTGAGTGAGCTTTCAGAATGGAGGCACTGATGGGTGGACAACATAGTAGCTAAACGTTTGATAATACGGCCATGTTATAGGATATATAGCTGGTAATGCTATGATTTATACAGAGTGCATGAAAACAATGCAAAAGAGAAAGCTTTAATGATTTTGAAATTGGTTGGCTTAATTTTTTTTATATCTAGCATAGACTCATCCCATACGTTCTGACACAATATCCAAGAGTTATTTCTGTTTTTTCCAGCTATTTATGTGCATATGTCAAAGGTCTACCACCAACCCAAAACATGAAGTTGCTGAGAAAAAAAGTCTGCTGCAGCATGGTTCAAGAGGATAGCATTAAAGGTAAATTTTTTATCAACATATTTCAGTTGAATTGAAGGTGATGAAACTTCATTGCTTCTGATTTTTACAGTTGTCCCAAATGTCATATTCTGGCACTGTAATTTAGCCCAATGCCTGACTTGAAAACAATTAGATGATGGGTCTTGTATCCACAAGAGAGATGGACGCAGAATCTAGTTGTGTAGTTGGGGCGCCAATAGCTTCCCAAATTTCAAATTGTAATTTTCCCTTTTTCTTTCTGTTTACTAACATTTATAGTTTATGATGATCTTGATAGCATATAATCCTCTTAGTTCAGACTGTATCATTTATTTATAGCTAAATATTAAATATATGATATCAGGTGAAACTTCTTATGCAAGTAGGGAACAAAAAATTCAAGGACTGTGAAAAAGAAATGCTGTTTGACATGTTGATGGATGCTTCACTGATGCACTGAGTGCTTCCAGAGGAGGGCACACTACTTATGAAGCACAGATTTGTGCAACCGTTGGATAAAGGATAGACATAGAAAAGGGAGAAGAAGGAAGCTTTATTTTTTCATTTTTGGAGGCTGGAGAAGTAAAGCAATGGGGGATTGTTTCGTTGGTTGCCCTGATAGTTCATATTTTCTTGGCCCCCATATTAACTTTAAAAATAGACTTTTGTACAAGTTACTATATAAATCTAGTATTCATATTCTTGACTTTTTTTTTTTTCAATCTTTACTCATAGCTCTTACAAATACAAAAATAATTATCATTTCATTTCACCTCTTTTCCTTCCATTCCCTTCTTTCTGTCCACAAAGCCACACATGATTTTCGTAGAAGGGTGTGTGCATTAACTCTTGTGGGATAATATTGTCATCTATATTCATAATTTTCCTTCTTAAGTTTGTCTATGAAACATTGTTTCAGAGTATTTCCAGCAGCCTACTTCAAAAACAATGATTCGGATTGAATATACTGCTGAAAACATCCAAATATCAATTAGATAATCATGATTTGATTGTCAACCATCCAACCTTACTTCCAAATAACCACTAATAAGAGTTCATCGTGCATGTTATGTTCATATGCATGCACATTGGACAAAGAAGAAAGAACTCCAATTAATAGATTTTGGAATTTATGGAAACCTACTACATGGAGAAAATATTATGTTCCGTAAAAAAGTAAAGCATGGCAAGAACAACATGTGCGTTAAGAATAACTATACATTGTGGCCAAGCCTTTAAACTTGACACAGGTGGTTATTCATAGTAACAACATTGCATATTTAGTTTAATACTCAAACTACCTTGGCTCATGTCAAACCATACCTGCCTGAACACTTTGATGATGAGATCATGATACTCATCTGCATTCAATGTCAGATAACATGCCAAAAGATCTTCCATTTCTTCTGGCTCAATAATCTGATTTTCCATGATCATCTCAATCATTGAATCTCTAAAATCTTGCTTTGGATCTATTGAAGACTTAATCACAGCAAAGCTCTCTAATCCTGGTATTTCCTCCACAATTTCCTCCATTTCTTTCTTCATCTTTAGTTTTGCTTTCTTCATGTCTTCCAGAGCCTTTATTTTGCAAATTTCAACCTTAGCAACCATCCTTGGAGAATGTATTTTGACCCTAGAGCTCTGCTTTGGTTTCCTCCTCTGATGTTCTCTGCTGAGATGATGTGGTTGCTTCTTGCTGTTAGTCTTTACCTTCATATCTTCAGTTTGTTTCAAGTTCTTCTTCTCAGAACTCATTTTCTTGTGAGATAGCCTTTCAGTTTTCTCAAATTTTTCTATAATATTCCCAAGGATAGGATTCCTTGAACCTGCTGAAGAGGAAAAAGCACGTGTTCTTGGGGTGCAAATTGTTCTGGGTGATTCAAACTGTAACGCATCTTTTTCCACTGCTTTACTGGATCCAAACTCAACTTCCTCAATTTCTGTTTCTAATGTGAGGAGTTGCTCTTGAAAAGCCTCTTGTGCTTTCCTTTCAAATCTCTTCCTTAAGTTTTCATATTCCTTTCCTCTATTGTACTCATCCATCTCCTTTGAAGGCTTCCCATCATTCAACAACTTTCTTTCTTCTGCTTGACCAATATCCCTCGCCTTTAACTTGAGTGTGGCTTTCTTTCCATGTTTCTTAGCATCCCTTCTACCACCAAGGCAACTTGAGAAGGGAAAGTCACTCTCATCAATATCTTCATTCTTCTTATCATCACCACTCTCTTCATCTAAAGGCTGTCTACATAAATCACCATCATCCTTTACACAACATGTATCTCCAGTCTCACAAAAATATTGTGGTGAACCACTCGGCTTTGCCTTGTGCTTCATTTTTGCAGCACTTGGGTCTGAATTGATTCTCATATTCTTGAACATGGAGAGCCAAGAGAAAGGAGATGCATGGGAAACGAAAGAAGAGCCAGGAGAAGAAGAAGAGGAAGCTGAAGAATGTTTTCTTGCTCCCCATTTCATCATTTGTTTTAGAAAGGTGATGATGAGTCTCTTCCCTTTGATTTGGTTAAGGTTTGTAGTATTTTGTAGAAGATAGAATAGAAGAATGAGAACTGAAGTGGAAGGTAATGTTGCGTAGTGGCATAACATAACTCGTGAAGCATAGTGGGACGGTTAGGATGTTAAATAGGAACGTGGGTTTCCTACTGTTCTTACGCAGTTTTTCAAAAGACATAACCACCTAAAACCTGTGACCATTTACCCACTTTTGGTGCCTTTTACTTTGTACTTGTTACAAGTTTTGTGCCAATGGTCAAGCCAATAACTACTGCTTACATATTAGCAATTTTTTCATTTTATTATTATTATTATTATTAATCCAACACAATAAGTATCAGTAACAAAAATTTAAAATTGTCTTCAGTGCATAAGTCATATATATTTTTATTTTAAATGAAGATTTCTTATCTCACTTCACTTTTAATCAATTCATATTAATTTTTTATAAATTTATTATAATTTTTAGAAATGCTCATATTTTTATAATATTTTTATTTAAATTTATTTTTTAACAACTTAAAATAATTTAATTATTATAACTAAATATTAATTTAATATAATATTTTAACATAAAAAAGTTAATTAAAATTCACACATTTATTTTAGTATAAAAATATTGTTTATTAAAAACAAAAAATATTTATAATAGAGAAATAAAAATAATTAAAATAAAAACTATAAACATATACTAATTTTTATTATTTTAATTTAAAAATATTATTAAATATGTTCCATCAATTCATTTTATTATTGTTCTAACAAAAGATATGTCATCTTTTATAATCAAAATAAATAATATTTTGCGTATTTTTCATCTTCAATAATCATATTACTATACATATATTGTATTCTTTAAAATTTTAATATTTGAAAATATTTAAATAGAAAGAATTATGAAATAATTTTTTATTTATTTCTCCTTTTTCTTGTTAAACATCGTTGTTAATAAAAAGAACGTTATTAAAATTTGAATAATTGGTTATGACGTAGATCAATTTCAATAAAATTATTTTGAAAAACATGTATTTTTTATTAAGAATAAAGAAAATAAAAATTTTACGTTATCTCTCTTAAATATAATTTTTTAATTGAAACTTATTGAAATCATAAAATGTTATCGCTGTACATCTTGTTTAATAAAGTTATTTTATTTTTGTAATTTTTTTAATAAATTTTAACCAATAATAAAAATAAACAAAACTTATACAAGTGTTGTTTGCAATGCTTTTAATTATGTTTAGAATTTTATTTTAATTATTTTATAATCTTCCCATACAAACTTTTGATAACTAATGATAAAATTTCAATTTTCTTTAGTAAAAGGTACCTAGAAAAAAAAAGCGTGAAAGAGGAAATTAGAATATTATACTTAATTTTTTTGTAACATTTTTAAACAAAGAAAAGGAAAAATTTTTTGTATAAATTGAAAATGTCATACTAATTAACCTTTAATTTTTTGTTTGGTTTATTTAAAACGTTAAATTTAATTTTAAAATTTTCTTCTAAAGTACTTTATAAAAATTAATATATTGTCTTTTAACTTATGTTATAACTAGATTTGCGGGCTTGTACGTCATTTATATTAAGAGGTAGTTAGTGTTGACCTACACCTGAAGGGGTAGTCCTTAAGTGGGGCTACCCTCTAAGAGAACGGTACGGATGCTCTTATATAAATTAAGTAGTTGCCCATTTAATTTTTATATTATTGGGAAGGATTATTGACATTTTTATACATTTAGTTTACTCTACAATTTAAATTTCACATATTCTTTTTTAAAAATAAAAATGTTTTAAGAAATAATAAAAACAAATTTAGTTGATTAAAAAAACATTAATGTTAGGCTAAATTATGGATTTCTAAAATTTGAAAAAAAAAAGTTTATTTGATTACTACTTTAAAAAATAGTCTCTAGTTTTTTAATTTTTAAAACTAAAACACCAATTTGGTATTTTTTTGTTAAACTAATTTTCAAAAAATATTTTATTTAATTTTAAAAAATTAAACATCAAAATTAGTAAAAGAAATTTTATATTTTAAATTATCTAACAATTATGTTATATTGTTTGTTTTTATATTATAAAATTATTATAATTTTTAGTTCTCATCCTTTTTCGTTTTAAATCATTTTCTTAAACTATTTTTAAAAAATAAAAATAAAAATAAATCATATCAATCAAAATTTTTTAATTAAAAGGAGACAAAAATATATTTTAGTGTTATTTTATTTTTCTCATAGTTTAAATATTGTATACATGGTTTATTTATTTATTAAAGAATTTAAAAAGTAATTTTAAATTTTATTGAAGAATCAAGTAAAAGTAAATTTAAAGAGTAAAATAGAAGAAGAAAATAAAGAATCTAAATGGACATCTAAGCTAGGAATTAACCCCTTTGAATTTTTATCTCAGTTAATTACATCATTATACTAATGCATGGCAGAGGGTTCTTCAGCCAAGCTTCTTGCTCGCTTATTTAACTATTTGCTTCACACATTTAATGGTGTGGTAATGGCAATGAGTAGGAATTGCCAAATTTCAATCAATATTGAAATAGATGGATCATCATCACTTACCATAGTTATGTCTTCCTTTGAAATTTATTTCTCTTTCATCATAAAACGTTTTATTAAAACCAGCTTTAGTAAATGCATAATTCGATCCTTTAAAGTGGAACAAACACCAAATTAGTGGTTAACTAACACTGCCCGATCAAAGGAACATTAGTTTCCACCCAAATACAGAACATGTTCAAAACAGTGTCTAGATCTTCAAAGTGTTTTAGCACTTCAAAAATTTGACGCAATGTGTGGTATAGAAAGTGAGTGATCAAGATAATGGTTAAGAAACATTGGAGATATTTTTCTTTTACTATTCTTAATTTTTTTCTAATGCAACGTTATATGTATATTATTGTATTATACAAAAGGTAGTTTTTTTTGTAACAGTTTTTAGTGTAATCTATTGTAAGATAACATAATTAAAAAAATAGGACACACGTACTCACTGGTTATTCTTATATGTAATTTATTTCCAACTGTTTATTACAGCATTGAATTTGGTCTCGAAAGTGAAGTCGAGTAAATGTACAGAAAGTTGGGCTTGCCATTTTCGTTGGTGGGCACAAATTTCCACTACTCAAATTTTGTTAATTTTTCTTTCTTGTAAAATTACGAAGCCATGTTTTAAGGAAAGTAAGGTTTTTTCCATTGGTTTATTTGAATTTGATGATAAAGGTGTTGAAGACCCGTATCAAGATTAGGGGAAAATTGCAGCATCATAAATAAGACGTTACTTAAGAGTAGAACACTTGGAGATGGAAGTAAAGGAATGATGACAAAATAAGTCTGTAAAAGAAAGCCCAATATTTGCTAGGCTTCTTGGGCCTAAGACAAGCTTTTCAATATACACACACATAATAACACGTTGGACACTCATGGATTGTGTTTCGGGGGAGAAATAAGGTCTCATCCCTCTTATTTTGTGTCCGTACAGGGGAGTTTATGTTCTTTCACACTTTTGTCTTAATCATGGATTCTTATTCCATTATTGAAAATAATTTTGTTTTTACAGGATTAAAAATTGTTATTAAAGTTAGCATGGAATACTAAGATTCAACCCTAATGTTGATTAAAAACAACTAACAAAGCTCCATTTTCATGGGCACAAGATAAACTGGGTGATTGGTGGGACGAAGACGCTCCATTGGAGTTAGTTCTTGGTCTAAAAAGATGATGGGTTGGCATGAGTAAAGCAATTGAAAATGAATTATAGTCACCATTAAGAACACTCTTACTCCAACTGCACCATATTATTCAACCCCAACTACCACCATGTCTTTGATTATAAGTTTCTGACGGAATCTCCAATTGTTTTTCACTTACGTGTCCTCTGTGCCTCCACTTTCATTTTATAGTCTTCAATATTAAATACTCCTCTCGTGAAGCCATGCCCCACCTTACCTCACCGTGCAAAAACATTTATCTCATCAATATTCTATGCCTATATTGTTAGTTTAAACTGTAATTGAATATGATCTTCATCCTAATGATCAAACATATATCTATAATTCCATACTGTAAACATGTTATGAACTAAATGTGAAAGCGTACCTGAATTATCCATAATGATGATATTCTTTGTAGAGCATTTTTGATTTGATCTTATGGTCTTCCACCTGAAGAGCACCTGTATTTCCCTATGGATTTTCTCTCTTGATGGGGATAGAGAGAAAGAAACGGGACTGTAACTACGTTCTGTCTGTGTGCTCTCAGAAGGGGACCATGACCCTTTATATAACCAAAATTAGGTTAATTACTTAAGTTTTAGTATTTTCAATTTGGCCCCTCATCAAATTAGAAATTACTCTATGGTCTCTACACAATAATATTTTCATGACATATGCCTTTAGCCAAAACTTTAATTTATTCAGATCACTTTATTATTTGACTTAATAAATAATGACCCTAACACATTTAAATATGTATCATATATATACATGACCCAAAATTTGCCAACAATCTCCCACTGGTCACAAATATATATGTCTTTACAACCTTACAAATGTGTTAGACTTTATGAGCTCAAAATTGTCATTATATTCCTTTAGCATATTCCAAAAGTCCTGTCCATTAATCATATCGGGATATAGAACCAAACCAGACTTTTCATTGCATCATCACAACTAAAACCAACAAGATTACTCATCCTGACATAACCAAATGACATGGATTCATCATGAAATGTGTAGCATGAAAAATTACGTGAAGGTGATCTGTACACGTCTATTTTCAACTGGTCCAAACTTTAACTTATCGAGATCGATATAAAAACCTTAATGTACAAAGTGTAATGAATGAACAAAAACCGCATATCTATAGATAACCAAATATGTCCAAAAAAAACAATGTATACATATATTAAATTAAACATAGAACATAAAATATATGAAAATGACTAACTCCCACTAAACCACAAATTCCTCAAACTGTAAAACACCCATGTGAGCAACATGCTCATGAAAGACCTTAGGTGGAAGTCCTTTAGTTAGAGGATTTGCTATCATGGAGTTTGTCCTTAAGTGTTCTATGGAA